TCCACAGTTCTCAGACGACCATCATTATACCCTCCGACAGTCAAAGAACTCTTGGGTTGCAAACATTTATCAAGTGTGTACCTTTCTACTGTTGTCAAAGGAAGATCGTTATGCTCTCCTCCCATAGCGTACAAACATCCATTAAGTACGGATACCGAGAGCCCTTGTCGAGCTGTCTGCATGGGTGCCACACGGATCCACTTGTTTCGTTCAGCATCATAGCTAAAGCAGTACTTTTCCACACAGTAAAGCAAGCAACCTAGAAGCCCCAACGCAGAGCGGGAACAAGCGGCCATCTCATCTTTTGGATACTTTTGCTCATCAATCTGTCCTGTTTTGCTCTGATCCTCCAGGAGAGGATCAAGAGACGAGCAAGAACGGGCTGGGATGGCATTCCTTTTTCGAAGGGGCTCAAGTTACTTGGGTTTTCTGGCTGAAAAAACTTAGGCTCTCAAACCGTTCGACTGTGTCCAGAGGGCTGTATTCCAGCCGCCTACAGCATACAGGAAGCCATTCAAGCGCAGCCACTCCGTGTGCATACCGAGGCGTGGACATCTGCGCGACGTCACTCGACCATTGATTCTTTACAGGATCGAATCTAAAATTTCCAACACTCGTACATTTTCTTCTAATCACGATTTTAATGGCAATTACTCTAACATTTCCAACAGTAGAACCGCATTTCAGAAGTGAATCTGTACGGGGTGTGATCCGCCTTACGGATGCGAGGTGTACTGGCAAATGACCACTTATCACGTACACGGTCAAAGGCCAAATAGGCTCCCGCCCAGGCCAATCAAGCCATTTCCTTTGGGTAGCGGTAAACACATTCGTTTGGGAGGATAACAAGACCGACTTGTACATCGACTTGTCCCATGAGTCTTTCATAGGTCATATCGCATCAAGTCATTACGATCCTGAGTGAATGTGCATGGCGTGTAGTACCCCGAAAAGGACTGTATACGGCGGAAGCTGGGTTAGTTCAGCTTTACTAAGAGAAAATGCTACAAAATTGCGATCTTTCTCCAGAATTCTTTCAGGATTAGGTAACTAAAAACTATTCAGAAAGGATTTGTGCGCGTTGTCGCGACCATGCAAGTAAACGCGCATTATATCCCTAAAAAACAGTCTAAATAATACAAACCTCTCGACACTGCTCAACCAGGTTCTCCCATCATAGCCACCAACAGCATAAAGCAAGTTGTCGAGCACTGCAACACCGGCTCCATGTCTGAAAATGGAGCAGTTTTCGAAAGGTACACTGTACGCTCTCCTGCAGAGATTCTGATGCTTGTCATTGGGCGAGGTGAATGGGTCCGCAAGTGTAGAAGTGTACCACGTTCGTCGCTCGAAAGCGCTGAACTAAGACGAGAGGGTAGGAGGGGGCGTTATTTGATCTCTGGGATAGGAGCAGGGTCGTATTTCCCTTATGACCTTTTTAGAGAGGTTGCTAACTTTTCTTGGTTTTTCTATTTCATCCCCCCCCCGCTCAAAAGCAGAATTTTTTGTAAAAGTGTAAAAGTGGAAAAATTTTCGGGGAAACTTCGGAAAAGTGGTAGGTGGAAGTTGGAAGGGAAACGGGGGGGGAGTGGTCGTATCGAGCCACCCTTCATGAGGGGGGGGGGGCGTACGGACTAGACCAAACTTTCCAAGCCAATCATGTGCCCTGATTTTGTTTCGCTTAATATAGCAAAACGCGCTACTTGTCTACGACTCCTCACGTTTGGTTGCTCTTTTCACATGGCCGTGAAGGCTGCTCGTTGTTCATATTAATCGTAGCGGGAGCTCGGCATATACCGGCATGTCGCACATTGTGGGTCGCGGGTGGAAGCCTGAGACGACATCAAGCTGCCTCCACTCTCAACCTTTCTTTCCGTGCGCTCTCAAGTGATGGAAGTATCACATTTCTACAGCTACGGGCCTGTCCACGTCGCATTTGGCAATGATCTTTCCAACAGGTGAGCGTACAGCATAATTTTGAAGCTGGTCTTTTTATAATGACGTAGTACCTTGGAGTACTCATAGGAGCGACATACTCCCATACAGCTTCTGCTTTTGCAGGGTCAAGACATTCCACAGTGCAAAGTTCTTCATCTTCGACGGATCCTCCCACTAAAACAACTTCGACGGATCCTCCCACTAGAACAAAGTACGTGGTTAGAGATAAGTACCATTGCTTGGCATTAACGCAGGAAAAAAAGATATGTACGGTCTAACCAGAACTTCTTCCTAGCATATTTCAGTTGAATAGCTAATATCCCCTCAGGTACTGCCGAAAGCAGTAGGCCGTATTGTCCATTCTAAGTACGTTTACGTACACATTTACATACGATTACATAAAGCTTTGGATATTTTTCGCCTGCATCCGTATGTTTGCCTCACAAGAACCTACCGTACGTGGAGAATCTCTCTGAAGATCTCCCTGTGGCGGATCAGTGAAGTTAAGAAGGGATGCAAGCGAATGTATGAATAGGGGAAACCAGGAC